GGGATGGGGTACTGTATGTACAGTAGCACACATTTTAATTGTAATGCCGTAGTTTCTAAGCCAACAACGCTGGCATACCAGTGGTATTAGATGAAGGAAGAGACGTTTTAAACATGGCACCCAATGTGGGGGATGGGGTTCCGTTGTACTTGGTTGGTTCATACCTCTTCTCAATGGTATGCTACCTGACCTGATGCAAGAGTTGCTGGACAGTGTCAAGTCTATCTGGTAATCAGACACAAGTTTCCAACATGGTGCTGCATCAGTGAATGATGAATAATTTAGAAATATATTTATAAATTTAATGATTGTGACAAGATTCAAAAAAGGGGAATGCAATAAAGAGGCATTCCCATCTTACCATTCGACAGGTCCACAGACCTGCCACCTAGTCTCATTTCACTCATCTCAATTTGAGTTGGCACAATCTCCTTCCTATGGTTAGACTTGGATCTCATCAACCCTCAACCCTCCTTCAAGACGTTTTTGCTGCTAGAATTAACGACACGACGAGCGGATTTGTTTATGCCGTTAACAGACGGCCTCCTCCTGCTCGGATTAACACTAGAATTTCGTCAAGGCGTGGATCGCCTCGGCGAGACGAAGAAAGAAATTCAACTTATGGAAGGGAGAGGTCTCGCTCGCCCCGAAATAAACATCGCGCGACAGTTACTGCTCTTGATTTAATCGGCGCCGCAGCTCGCGGAACCAACCGGAATGACGACGACCATCGGGCTCCAATCGCCGCGACGGGTGCTCGTAACAATCGCCCAGACGAACGCAATCAGGAAGGACCTCGGGCGAGATCCCGCCCTGCCGGCGCGACTGTTGCAGCAGGAACAGAAAACCGCCAAGGGCGTAATGATGACGCCACTGGCGGTTGCATCAACCACGAGGGGCCACCCGGATTCAGAAATCCGGAGGCCGGCACTGTAGCCGCAGCGGTTTTGGCCCCTCAGGCCCCTCGTGTGAGAATAAATGAGAGGAATGGATGAACTAGGAAGAAGGTGGGTACAAGTAACAAACACAAAAGTGTTGTACCCTCTAAGGACTACCCCACTACAGCCTAAAGAGACTATAGCATATATAAGTTTGACACACCCCCATAGGCAAAGTGGGGGAGAACAAGAGGTCACAGGACCAGTCAAGAAAGACAAAGCAAGCTCAGGGTGGATCACAAAGTCACCACGCAGTCTGAGCACAAGCAAATGGCCACAAGGCCAGTTCACATGCAGAGTTATATGAAGGAGAACAAACAATACAGTGAACACAACCTAGCAAGTGTAAGCATGCAGGTATATGTATAAAGAGTACAGTACAAGCAGAGTCAAGAAGAAAGCAAGTGAGGCACAGTAGGTACAAGGCCTAACACAGTACAGAAACGCTGATGATCACAATGCTGAAGTGCCTTGGTGAAAACATCAGCAGTGTTGGCCTGAGAGGCCACGTAAGCAAGACGAAGCTGGCCACGCTGCTGCAACTCTCGAGCAAGGAAGTAGCGCAGAGCAATGTGCTTCGTTCTGTGCTCCAGTCTGTGCTCCTGACACAAGGCCAGCATGGCCTTGTTGTCGACGTACAGAACTTGAGGAGAACGAGGCGCCTCTCCCAAGTCGGTCAGCAGGTAGGTGAGCCAGCGTAGCTCCTGTGCAGCCATGGCCCCAGCGTAGATCTCAGCCTCACAACTAGAGCTGAGAACAGAAGAAGAGCGGGTAGACCGCCAAGAGACAGAACCGGAGCCAAGACTGAAGGTGTAACCCTGTGACGACCGCAGCGTAGCCAAGTCGTCAACCCAGGAGGCGTCAGCGTGACCAGTGAGGACAACTCGAGCCCGTCCTCCAAGCACGAGCTCCATGCCCGATGTACTGCACAGGTATCGCAACACCCTCTTCGCAGCATCCCAGTGCACCTTTCGGTGCCTGCCGGGAGCCACGTAGCGAGCCAGAAGGCTGAGAGGGTATGCGAGGTCAGGTCGTGTGCAAGTCATCAGGTACATGAGGCAGCCCACAAGCTCTGGATACGGGCCATTCGGCTCTACGGACTCGTCCGAAGGTGGAGCTGAGAGCGAGTGACCTGTAGGCAGAGGAGTGGACTGTGGCGAGGAGTACGTGAAGCCGAAGCGCTGAAGGACCTGCTGCACCATGTGTGACTGAGTCAAGGTAATGGTGCGCTGTGCTCTGTCCCGGGTGATCCGCAAGCCAAGATAGCTTGTCAGCTCACCCAGGTCTGTGCACGTGTGTCTCTTCTGTAGCTCGGACTTCACGTGGGCGAGTGCCTCAGTGTCAGCAGTAGCAAAGACGAGGTCGTCTACGTAAACGAGAACGTAGAACGGCGGCAGAGTAGCGTCAGTGCGTAGAAACAGAGAAGGGTCAGCAGTGGAAGGAGCAAAACCAAGAGAAGCAAGAGTCGTCCTGAGCGTGTCGTGCCACTCACGGGGTGCCTGGCGGAGACCGTAGACTGGCCGCCGGAGGCTCCACTGGGTACCAGCTGGAAACGACCCAGTGAAGCCAGGTGGGCGGCGCAGCCAGATCTCCTCGTGCAGGCTGCCCTGTAGGAAGGCTGTGCTGAAGTCAAGCGAGTGGAGCTCATAGTCACGCTGAGCAGCTACGTGCAGCAGTACCCGAAGAGTGGTCATCTTCGGGGTAGGGGAGAAGGTCTGGAAGAAGTCAACTCCCTGTCGCTGACTGAAGCCACGTGCAACGTAACGCGCCTTGAAGACAGGCGGAGAACCCGGCGGCCGCTTCACCCTGAAGATCCACATGCCACTGACGATGTTCGCCCCAGGCGGGGGAACCTCGTCGACGTAGGTGCCTGTGGACTTCTAGGAAGCCATCTCGGCGTCCATGGCTGCCTGCCACTGAGAGGAGTAGGGACTTTCTATCGCCTCTGCGTAAGAGCGCGGGGTCGGGATGTCTGGTGCATCCGGGTCTCCCTCAGGGGAAATCAGCATGGACACGAGATGAGGTACAGAAGCGGCAAAGAACTCAAACTCCTCCTGTCTGTCCTCAAGAACGTCCGTGCCAAGAGCACACTCACCCCCGATGGACGGAGGACAGACAGACGCAGACGCGTGGCCAGAAAACGCGTGACAGCTGGACTAGCAGCACGGAGGGAGTCAGACGCAGGGTCCGGACCGGCAGGAAGAGAGGATGCAGGAGGAGACGGCAGAGGGACACGCTGTGGAGCAGTGGAAGGACGCAGAGTCATAGAGTGAGTGCCAGGGACAGGAGGAGGACGCGGACACGAAACACAACCAGCGCGAACAGAACGGACAGGCGACGCAGAACGAGACTCAGGCGACACAGGACGCGACTCAGGCTCACGATGCTCCGTAAGACCTCTAGTCGGTCCAGAGTAAGGAGAAGGACCAGGCAGTGGAGAGGCCGGCTGCAACTGCAACTGGGACTGGACAGGCGGTGGACTCAGGGAAGGAGGAGGAGGACCAGGAGAAGGCGGGGAGCCAAGAACCTGCTGAAGGAGCGGAACGTAGTATGGCCGCGGCCGCGTAGCGCCTCCAGAAACAGCAGAGACAGGACCGGTACCCTCAGCCCCAGGGTCTCCAGTCCCAGCAGCACCTCCAGCAGATCCAGCAGCTCCAGCACCAGCAGCACCTCCAGCAACTCCAGCAGCTCCAGCACCAGCAGCACCTCCAGTACCAACAGCACCGCCAGCAGCTCTAGCAGTACCTCCAGCAGCTCCAGCAGCTCCAGTACCAGCAGCACCTCCAGCAGCTCCAGCACCAGCAGCACCTCCAGTAGCTCCAGCACCAGCAGCACCTCCAGCACCAGTAGAACCACCAAAAGCTCCAGCAGCACCCCCAGCACCAGCAGCACCAGCACCCGCAGCACCTCCAGCAGCTCCAGCAGTACCAGCACAAGCAGCACCTCGACAGCGCCGAGAGTACCACTCACGAAGCTGCTGTGGAGAGAGAGGCTCCCGCCGCGACGGGACACCTAGAGCACCTCCAGACTCAGCACGCGCAGGCTCAGCACCGCCAGACACAGTACCCTCAGGCTCCACACGCCCAGGCTCAGCACCCCCAGACTCAGCACCCCCAGACTCAGCACCCCCAGGCTCCATAAGCTCAGGCTCAGCACCCCCAGTCCTCGCACCCCCAGTCCCCGCACCCGCAGGCTGAGCACCCCTAGTAGCACCTGAGTCGACGGCTACCTCGACCGGCTCGGCAGGGTCTACCTGGGACACACCTGAGGGGGCAGGACCCTGGGGGGGGAGGGGGTCTACCGGGGGAGTACCTGGTGCTAGGAAGAGTGGCGGGGGGGAGAGAGAGGCAGTGCGGTAGGGAAAGAGACGGTAGTACGACACCGACTCGTCAAACGTGACGTCCTGAGAGGACTGAACACGACGCGAGGTGGGGTGGTAGAACTGCCACCCGGGTGCGTCAGGAGGGAAACCAAGGAAGACACAGGGAACGGCACGGGAGGACAGCTTGTCCGCTGAAGTATCGCGGACAAAAGCTCGAGATCCCCAGACACGGAACGCGGACGCATCGCCAACCTTCCCCGTCCACCGCAGAGTAGGTGTGGTCTCCGGCAAGGAGACACGAGGCTGAAGGTTGATCTGATGCGCAGCGTACTGAACCGCGAACGGCTACATAAAATGGGGAGCAGCCGCATGGATCATGGACGTACGAGCGATGTCCATGACCATGCCAATGCGACGCTCAGCAATCCCATTTTGCTGCGGGGAGGCCGGAAGCGTGTGTTATAGTCTAGAGTCCACTTAGGGGTCGTAGATGCCCTTGAAACCACCTAAGCAGAATCTGATGACTTCGAACCGCCTCTGTTCAAAACGCCGTCACGATCAGCTCCGATAACAAACGAGGCTGAAACGTGGACAGACGTTAGCTTCAGGTGTCTGCTTTGCAACGGTATATGGCTTGCTTTCATCAGATGTGTATGCGCTACGCAGTGAACAAAAACGTAAGCTCGGCTGAAAAACGAGTAGCTTCATTGATGCAAGGAAGAGGTTGAGTACAACATTGCCTAGGGGACTCTTAAGGGGTTGGGACCATCCTGGGAACTCAGAGAAGGTTGAGTCCTAGGGGAGAAAGGCTAGAGAAGGATGGGAAACGTCCTAGCTAGGTCAGCAAAGCCAACCACACTTGGATGTTCAGAGCTGTACTCAAGGCTACCAATAGTGAGTCAAGCCAACCATGAGTCAGCTTGTCTTCCCACTTGCACCCTCTTGCAAGCTGCTACCAGGAAGACCACACTTCTCAAAAGGAGGGTGGTAGAGTCCCAATTGACCACCTGTACTTCTTGTCTCAAAAGGAGGGTACTTTTTTTTTAATGTTGCTATTGGCAACTTGCTAAAAAGATGTGCTCTATTCAAAAAAAAAAAAAAAAAAAAAAAAAAGGCTATCCGGTTTCTACTTGAGACTCTTCTCAATGTCGATGACAAAGCGGTATTTCACGTCGATCTTGAGCATCCTCTCATATGCCTTGTTCACGTCCTGGATGTTAATGGTCTCAATCATAGGTGCAACCCCCTTCTCAGCACAGAAGTACAGCATCTCTTGAGTCTCCTTGATCCCTCCGATCAAGCTACCAGCCAGAGTCTTGCGGCCGAAGATGAGCTGGCCGGCATGCAGGCCGTAGGGCTCTGGGGGCACGCCAACAACAATCATCTTGCCGTTGAACATGAGGAGATCCAGGTACGGCGCCAGCTCATGCTGTGCCGACACCGTGTCCACTATGGCGTCCAATGTCCCCACTGCCGCCTTCATGGTATCAGCATCCCTGGTAACAATGAACTGATCCGCGCCCAACACCTCCTTGGCCTCCTTCTCCTTGCTGGGGCTCGTGCTCAGCACCGTCACATGCATGCCAAACGCCTTGCCGAACTTCACCGCCATGTGGCCCAGCCCGCCCAGCCCCACCACTCCCAACCGCTTGCCCGGCTGGTTGATGCCGTAGTAGACCATGGGCGAGTACACCGTGATTCCCGCGCACAGCAGCGGCGCCGCCACGTCGGACGGCAGCTTGTCGGGAATCGTCAGCACGAAGTCCTGGTCGCAGACGTAGAAGGAGGAGTAGCCGCTCTGCGTGGTCTCGCCGGTCTTGGGGTCGACCTTGTTGTACGTGTACACGCACTGCGGACAGAACTGCTCCACGTGCTGCACGCATGGCTGGCACGTGCGGCACGAGTCCACCATGCACCCGATGCCCGCCCTCTGCCCCACCGCCACTTTGGTCACCTCGGAGCCCACCGCCTCCACCACCCCCGCGATCTCGTGCCCCGGGACCATGGGGTACTGCGAGCCGCCCCATTCGTTCTTGGCCTGGTGCAGGTCGCTGTGGCAGATGCCGCAGTGCGTGATGCGGATGCGCACGTCCTTGGGCCCCACTTCCCTGCGGTTGAACTTTAAGGGCGAGAGGAATTCCGACTGATCCCTGGCAGCATAGCCGATGCAGTTACCCTCTCCGACTTCGGCGGCCATTGCGAACAGCTGGTACGTCGTCGGGAGTATCCGAGAGGAAAGGAAACTGAAGATGGATCGAGAGGATGAGTTCCAGAGCCACATGGAGAATGAAACATGGACCCTTACCAATCTTCCCCCAGGAAGGAAGGCATTGGACTGCACGTGGGTGTTACGTGTAAAGACCGATGCGGAGGGGAGGTTGGAGAGGCGCAAGACAAGGCTTGTGATCAAAGGCTCCTACAGCAGAGGGAGGGAATTGACTTTCAAGAGGTGTTTGCTCCTGTTGCCAAGGCTCCTACGCTCCGGTTGTTGCTAGCAGCCGCTGCCGTTTGTGGCTGGAAGGTGGAGCAAATGGATGTGAAGACGGCGTTCCTCTATGGCGTGGTAGATGTGGAGATCTACATGAAGCAGACAGAGGGGTATGATGATGGGAGCGGACGTGTTTGCAGGCTCAACAAGGCCATCTATGGCCTCAAACAAGCTCCAAGATGCTGGTATGCAAGGCTGGTGGAGGCGTTGGAGGCTCTTGGCTTCAAAGTTAGCGGCTGCGACGAGAGTCTCTTCATGACCGAGGGGGAGGAGAAGGTATTTCTCCTTGTCTATGTCGATGACATCCTCCTCTTCTCTCCATCCCTAGAGAGGATCAAGGAGGTGCAAGGGAAGCTGAAGGAGACCTTTCAATGCAAGGCCCTTGGACCAGTGGGGTATTACCTTGGTCTTCACGTGGAGCGGGACGAGGTGAAGGGATGGTTGAGGATTCACCAACACAAGTACCTTGCAGCCATGGGGGAGAAGTATGGGCTGGAGGAAGGGAGGAGTGTGAAGCCTCCTTTACCCTCAGGGTTTCAGCTGCACCTTGATGAAGAGGAGGGTGAGGTGTTGGAGTACGAGTTGCAGCGTCGGTTCCAGTCAATGGTGGGGAGCTTGATGTACGCTTCGGTCAACACTCGCCCCGACATTGCGTTTTCAGTTTCACAACTCGCTCGTGTGGGGTCTAGGCCCCTTCAAGAGCACCTGGATGCAGCAGAGAGGCTGGTGAGGTACTGCATGGCAACCTCAAGGGTGGGGCTGCAATATTCAGTGCATGGGCAGCTGAAGCAAAAGGGAGTGGAGGAGGTGAGCACAAAGACTGGTGCACCTGCAAGGCGTGGGCATTTGTACCTCTCGTGTTTCACCGATGCTACCTGGGCAAGTGACATCAGTGATGCTACATCCCATGGTGGCTATATATGCTGTGTTGGAGGGAGTCCAGTGAGTTGGAAGTCTAAGAAGCAAGGAGAGATAGCTCACTCATCAACGGAGAGCGAGTACATGGCGTTGTTTCATGGAGTGAAGGAGGTGGTTTGGATGAGGAGGTCGCATGAGGAGGTGGGGCAGGAGCAAGAGGGTCCTACACCTGTGTTTTGTGACAGCCAAGGAGCAATTGCAATGGCGCGTAATGCTGTGCTCCATGGGCTGAACAAGCACATGCATATCAGCATGAACGTCTGGCGGATGCCCTCCGAATGACAGAAGGCCCTCAGGAGGTCGGAGGAAAACTCCCCACCTTTGTCTGAGTGCAGACGCAGAACAGGAAGGTCTGAACCGAAACTCTCACTGAGCTGGCGACGAGCACCGCGGATCCAGTCGATCAACACCTCAGGGACCTCACCCTTGCTGCGCAAGGGGAAGACTGTGGTGTAACGCGAGTAGTCGACAACGACCAGGAGGAAGTAGCGCTCGTGACCCTGTCCACGGACGCGGGCTGGGCCCCACACGTCCATGTGAAGAGTCTGCAGAGGGGCCTCAGTCGGAGGAAACGAGGAGGAGTGAGGGGCGGCGCACTGCCGGCCCTCGAGACAAGGAACACAGGTGGGGGCAGGCCCCGGAGGAAGGGGAGGGAGGGACCTGGGTAGACCCGAGACAAGGGCACGGGAGGCCATACCTCGAAGACGAGGCAGGGAGGGGTGACCAAGGCGGTGGTGCCAAAGGAGAGTCTCGTGTGCCAAAGGACGACACGAGCAGGGGGCAGACGCAGGACTGGACCTGGACGCGGCAGCAAACACCTGACTGGACGCAGCTACCTGACCAGACGCAGAGACCGGAGGAGGCGCAGTAGTCAGTGTGTACAGACTCGACCCTGGCCGACGGGTGAACGTGGCCAGGTGACGGCCCGTCCAAGAGCAAGTGCAGTGGGTCACACGCTGACCTCCAGGGGTGAACTGGTCAACCCACGCGTCCTGGAGGTCAGCTCCACTCACCAGGTTCGTAGAGAACGAGGGGAGGTGGAGTCCCGAAAGCAAGCCCGACGGGGCCGCAGGACACGGTAGAACCGTGGAGGAGTGTGCAAGGACTGGGCCCCCTGAGGGGTCAGCAAGGGAGACCGCAACAGGCCGACTGAGCGGCGTGAGCGTGGTGCTGTCTCTAAAGAAAGAGCGCGAAGCACCAGAGTCAAGTGTGAAAGTGTGCAAGGCCTCAGTAGGTGCAGTACCAGAGAGAGCAGACGCACCAGCACCTGGAGCAGCAGACGCGCCAGTACCTGGAGCAGCAGACGCACTAGCACCTAGAGCAGCAGCCGCAATGCCCGGGTCGGGCGGGACACTTAGGTAACAGTCACCCTCAGCACTATCAGCAAAAGCATACATGGCAGCAAGGATAGCATCGAAATCAAGATCAAAGATAGGCACATTCTGCAGAAGCAGATCATGCCAGCGAGGGAGCTGAACAGCGTCAGGAAACTGGGCACGCCAGGCGTTAGTCAAGCGACCGAAGCAGCGCTGCGTAGTGTGTGGGAGCCCACACACCTCCCCACTACGAGTGCCAGTGTGAAGAACGTAAGTGCAGGGACCTGCACCCCCAGACCTCCCACGCCCAGCGTACCACTCACGAAGCTGCTGGACCGACGGGGTCTCACGGGAGCGCAGCTGCTGCTGGCGCTGGCTGCCACCAAAGCCTCCACGCTGCGCGGCTGCACCTCGACCAGCACCACCGCCACCGCCACCTCCACCACCGCTGCCGCTGCCTCCACCACCTCCGCCACCGCCGCCACTACCTCCAACGCCGCCACTGACGCCCCCACTCCCAGTACCACCCCCACCTCCACCGCCACCTCCTCCGCCTCCTCCACCTCCTCCACTGCTTCCCCCGCCGCCCCCTCCACCACCCTTGCTCCCCTTGCCCCTGCTGTTGCGGCGTCTCCCACTAGGGGCAGACGCAGCTCCGACCTCCTCAGTGCCAACGAGGTCGACAGCAGCAGCAGAAGCCTCAGAGGGGAGAAGGGGGACAGGGGAACACCCCTCAAAGAAGGGGGTGCGACGGTCGCCGCGAGAAGCACCTACAGCTAAGATACTCTTCTCAGCTGCAGCAAGGCGCCCCTCTAATAGGTCGACAGTCAGCTCGGTGGGGCAAAGGGAGAGAAAGTGGTCCCTGACGGAAGAAAGGGAGTCAGGGAGGCGGGTGACTAGGTAGTAAAGGGTGATGTACATGGGGGGGGGGTTCTTGGCACAGAACTCAGTGGGAAGGGCAGCGCGGTAGCGGGCGTCACTAGTGCGAAGGTGAGCAACTCGGTCAGCAACTGTGGTAAAGGCGGCAAGGTCAGGGAAAAGGTACGGCAGCATGAGGCGGCTGAGGGCAGTAGTGGCAGGGGAGGAGTAGCGTGCAACTACAGCGTCGTACAAAGACTGAGCAGTCTTGTACTGGCCAAAATGTGCGCGCTCAGCAGGCGGCAGGTGACTACGAACAGCAAGACGAGCAACAGCGTCATGAGTGGTCCACTGCGAGCGAACCGTACTACCAGCAGTGGCAGTAGGAGCAGTGGAAACACCGGACGTGTGATCGAAAATGGATACCCCATCCCTAGAATCACACTGAAGAAAGAGCTGTAGGTCGTCAACCCACACGTCAAAGTCAACTGCACGTCCCTCAGCGTCAAAGGTGAGAACGGTAGGACTAGCCATAGCAGCAGTAGGAGCAGTAGCAAGAGTAGCAGCAGTAGAAGCAGAGGCAGTAAGGCAGTGCAAGGCAGTGCGGCTCGGTAGGGCAGTGAAGCTCAGTAGGGCAGTGCGGCTCGGTGGGGCGGCGCGGCTCGGCCGAGCGGCGCGGCTCGGCTGGGCGGCGCGGCTCGGCTGGGCGGCGCGGCTCAGAGACTGGTGGAGGGGCGGGCCGTGAACGCAGGGGCCGCGCCAGTAGGGGGGGCGGGGGTGTTGGTGCAACCCTACGGTTTGCACTCGGCTTGTTGTCCGTGTGTGTGAATGTGTGTGTGTATGGAATGGTATGAGGGCATGGGATAATATATATTTCATGCTTATAATTGTGTGTGAATGTTGAGTCATGATGTCGAGTGTGTGTGTCGAGTCAATAGCGAGTTATCGCTAGACGCGTGTTACGCGGTCGTTTGTGTCTCGCGTGCGGTTTCTATTTTGTCGTGCGCGGTTTCTATTTTGTCCTGTGTCGAACGTTCGGCGTGTCGCAGGTGTGTGCAGCAGACCCATCAAGAACTCAAGGATGAGTTTGTGATGAAGAGCCCGAGCCTTGGTGTCAAGCCTCAAGTGATTTCGAAGCTTGCCAAAAGGGTACACCTCAAGATATTGAAGATAGTTACATTACTTTGTGTAGTGTAACATTTCACTTGGTGTAGGCCCTAGTGAAGGGTAGTTTCGAGACCCTTCGTGGTTGGGGACAGTGTGGCACTGTTCCACATCACTGTACCCCGGCTCTTGGGGTTTGTAGGAGCTGGGAGTCATTCCCAACTCGTAACTCTTCCTATCTTGTGTTCTAAGACTATAGTGGCTGCCATAGTACCGTTCGTTCAAACCGACGCTGTGTCGTCAATTCTTTATCAAATCGTGCAATCTAAATTTCTAATTGTAGACGACGTGAAGACGCTCCAGATCCAATTTCAATCAAGTCATTTACAGCTGTGACCAGAACGCTATCAACATTTGAAGCCGCTGTGCAGAAATCCGTCTGTGCTCTCTATCTTTCGTTTTAGGCACATTCAAGCCTATTGTGACTATAACAAGTGGTATCAGAGCCCCTTG